AGTTATTCTGTTTGGCTTCTTTAATGACTTTTGACAAAATTTTACAGTACATTTTGTAGTGACTTTTTAGTCTTGGATCATTACTGTCCCTACTGGCCAAATATAGTTGTCTTTTGTGTTTACATGAAGTTTTTATTCCAATTGTTATCCAGGTGGATTTGTTTTTATTTTCATTTTTGACTATTTTTAAGGGAAAGCTTGAATAAAAGATCCTCAAGTATGTGTTCAGAAAGCAATTAAATTTAGAATCAATATTTGGATTGTTGCCCTGTACACCAGTCGTTTCGACTTGCAGATATGCCAGCTTCGTATTTCTTTCATTACTTCATCTTTCAAACACCCTATACTTGTAGACTATCTGCCATTTATGTGTACGCTTGTTGGTTCTAAAGTAAATCATGCCTCAATGCTTTCATTCCTAACTTTATCTAATCTCGTACGAATTCGAGCCCGCCTTGTAAGTCTCATTCTAGTCTCCTAGACTCTGAGTTTGTGTACAATGACACGTCTAGAAGTATTAATCGACGCTATATAGTCTGAGACACAGACGCCATCGTAAAATAAACAACAAAAAGAAAAATTATTAAAAGTACTCGCTGTTAGCATAGCGAGTTTTAAGGTTCCATTGGAGTAGGCAGTTTAGGTTTCGATTTATGGTTAGCATCCTCAAATCAAAATAATTTGCTCATCCGCCATGTTTTTGTTTAAAATTTTCTTAAAACTAGCCTGCCGAAATCAAATTCAGATTGACAGCCGTGGGAATCTCAAATGCAAACGATCTATGTAGATGCAACTTCTGCTATTTTCTACCCTGAAGATGGCGACAGCAGATTCCAACGATGTTATCTCCCTACTGTATTATATTTTGTAACCATGCCAGAAGACAACGATCTTCATGACCACAGAAAGTGCCATGATGCCGAGATTTATATTAGTATGACATTTATACTGAGCCTCAGGAAAATCTGTCATCTAGTGTCTGTACTATCGATGTACGTAGTTCAAGAAAGCGATGGAAGGACAGATAGACACGCGTCGTACTGATGGGCTCTCGTACACGAGTAATGTATGAATAAAAAAGGCCGCGCCATAGCTCAAGCGGTTAGTCGCTGGCTTCCCACCGCGGCGGCCCGGGTTCGATCCCGGGTCTGGTCAAATGGGATTTGTGGTGGACAAAGTGGCGCTGGGGCGGGTTTTCTCCGAGTACTTCGGTTTCCCCTGCCAATCTTCATTCCACCAAATTCTCCATCATCATAATCACCCGGAGCAGGCTACAATAGGCCAATCAGTGGCCGCCGTGCCGAGTGGACCCAGTTGGACTCCACCCTCCATTAAGCGAATTAAAAAAAATGTGGGAACAACCGTCATTTTATAAGGGTTTTAGAAACCTGTGGTGTCCTAATTTTCATTCGCATTCATTTCACGTCAGTTAAAATGGACGTAATTAACAACATAGATTATTAAAGCACTTGACATTTCTGTTCTGATTATCCCCTGTATCACTCCACAGTATTTCTTTGTTAAGCTGAAAATTGGTGAAGCGTTAAAAATTTCCTGTTTTATGAAAACCTAAGGTTCATCATCGTGTTAATAAAAGCTTGACACTGGATCATATTCTGAACCAGTTGAATCAATCTGATATATTTATACTTTTTTAATACAAGATCCGTTCTGACATTCTGTCTTCATCTATGCCTAAAGGTAAAGTTGTCCCTGTGCTCAATTAGTTAAGCACTATGCCATGAAGACATGTATGGGAGTGGAGGTATAGCTCCACCATTCTTGAGCTTCACGCCCCTGTCGCTTTACTCATGGGGAAGAAACCTGCTGTACAAATTGGATAGGAGGCTGGGTGGGCCCCAGATCTGGTCTGAACGCTGTGCCGGGACTCGAACCCGGGCCGTCCAGCCCGTAGCCCGTCGCTTTACCCACTGAGCTATGACTACTCTCCTCCACGGGTATGCCTAGTCTCCCAAACAGTAGTGAGTTCTACACTGTACCGAGCCGTGACGCCACAAAGGTAACGCTGAGTTGTACGTCGAATAGAAACGTGAGTTCCACGAATGTCGAGCTGTTTCTGACAGATGAACTGAAAGGGTTAAAAGACCGTAAGGATATAGAATTTTTACAAGAAAAATTAAGTGAATAATCACAAATTAAGAATTGATTATATACGATTTTAAAATTTAACAAAGGCCAAAGAAGCCTAGTCCGAAACGACAGTTATAAGTAAAATTGTATTCTCGATGAGTTAAGGATCGAAAACTTCAGGAAATCCTTCTTAGTAGCAGCCACACATTTTACTTGTTGAGTGCATGAGTCTGAAGCCAGGTGAGACGGAGAGGGTCAGGTAACAGGAGCAGACTTCAGAGAGATAAAACAACGAAAGTGCAAGGAAACAAACTCTTTATAATCTGTACCGTGACGTATCTTGTTAGAATAACTGAACAATGAACGATTAGATGGGCAGGACATGTAGCAAGCACGGGAAATTCTTGAAGGAAGCTACTATTTAGAAGAACTTAGCACAGACGAGAGGATAAGACTAGAATTATTGTCAAGAAGAATTAAAACATGAGACGTGAACTGAATTGACCCTGAATGGGGTCCAATGATGGGCTTTTGTGAATATGACGATGAACCTTCCGTAAGGACAGGGATTTTCGTGATCAGATGAGTAATTATAAGCTGGTCAAGTAAAACCTTATCAGTCCAGTTCCACTTCAGTAATTCTCATTAATTCGCTCTCGTAATCACTCAGTAACTCATTTAGGCTACTAACTTACGTTTACTCATGCATTCACTGGTTTAGAAGTATACCAACTCATTTAGGCTACTAACTCACGTTTACTCATGCATTCACTGGTTTAGAAGTATACTAACTCATTTAGGCTACTAACTCACGTTTACTCATGCATTCACTGGTTTAGAAGTATACTAACTCATTTAGGCTACTAACTCACGTTTACTCATGCATTCACTGGTTTAGAAGTATACTAACTCATTTAGGCTACTAACTCACGTTTACTCATGCATTCACTGGTTTAGAAGTATACTAACTCATTTAGGCTACTAACTCACGTTTACTCATGCATTCACTGGCATCTGGTGTCTCGCTATTTCAGTAGCACATTCATAATTCTGTATTTCCGCATCCCGTTGCAGTTGTTCATATTAGCGTCCATTTGTCTATATCCGTCTAAATTGAAGCACTTGTTTCACACCTCAATATAATCTTTAACACTTAACACTACATGTTTCGGCCTCAAAGGGCCATTTTCAGGTGTTTTATTACAGATATTCAATCAAGACCTTGTTAAAACCGCTACACGGTTTCGCTGTTCCAATTCATTTTAAAAACCACACGCTGCAGTCCTCCTTCAATTAAAAAGAGATTAAATTCTTTTTTAATTTGTTGTTTCACTTCACTCAGGGTGTCGTCACTTCCGTAAAATATATTAAAATGTAAAGACAATCCCACACGTTGAGGACGAAACGAAAACCAGGCGCAAATAACTAACGTGAGGAACAGGCTGCCGGGGAAAACATTTTGATATATTTTACGGAAGTGACGACACCCTGAGTGAAGTGAAACAGCAAATTATAAAAGAATTTTATCTCGTTTTAATTTAAGGAGGACTGCAGCGTGTGGTTTTTTAAATGAATTGGAACAGCGAAACAGTGTAGCAGTTTTAACAAGGTCTTGATTGAATATCTGTAATAAAACACCTGAAGACAGCCTTTGAGGCCGAAACATGTAGTGTTAAGTGTTAAAGATTATATTGAAGTGTAAAACAAGTGTTGAAATTTAGACGGGTATAGACAAATGGACGCTAATGAGCACATTCATAACTCGTCCTTACTTACGTATTCACTTATTAAAATATTTACTCACTCACCAAGTCATGAACAAGTTCATAACTCGCTCTCCTGCTAGCTCATTCACTTACTGACAAATGTATTCAGTAACTAACTGATTAACTCTTTCGCTATCTTTATGCACTTGACTGAAATCACTTTTGTCTTTCATTTACTCACTAACTCGCTCGTTCACTACGTGGTGGCTACTCTCACACTTATTCATACGCGTTAAGTCTACGCGCCATTCATTAACCACTAAATCACCAAGGCCATGTGATTTAGTCCAGTTAGCAACACCATGTATACTTGCCGTTCTGGCGATCCCCCATTTCCAGATCTTCCACATTCGCTTCGCAATCATGGTGACGATATACGTACAATCCGGTTCAGTCTTCCGTTTCCACTCCATTCACAAATACTCTGCTGTTTCTCAAAATATTCATGGCCCGCAGTTCACTTCACCTTGATATTGAAATGGTCACGTGCATCTTGTTACACTTTTGTGTCGTACCATTGGCTCACCTGCAACAAGTGTCACAAACACGTTACAGATAACAACACAACCCCCATTCACCTACGTGTAGCGTTCTTGAACACGATGCGTTAACGGGGAATTTCTGTATACTTTCCGCTGCGTGGGCCTTTAATCTTCACTAGAAATCTGACTCACTGCAATATTTCTGGGGCACGCGGTAGCGTAGTTGGTTCAGTCACTATGCTACAAGCCGGGAGTTCTCGGGTTCGAGTCCAGATGAGGTGGATTTTTTCAGTTTATCTAATCCTTCCAGCCGCATTAGGGCCTTGGGGTCGACTCAGCCTCTAGCAGAAATGAGTACCAGGGATTTTCCTGGGGGGGGGGGGGAAAAAGNCAAACTTACCACCAACTATAAGCCGACTGTCTAGAAGATGTGGGAGCCTCAACGTCTCACAACCCTATGGGCCTCCACGGGGATAGCTTGACTTTGCAATTGAGCGCCTAGAATTCTTTTCTGTTGGGGTGTCTAGATATTCTTTACTCCTCCAACTAAATTTGAGATAGTGGACTAGTCGGAAATGGGCCACAGTCATTTCCTTTCGTAACCTCCCATATTCATCATTCACTCTCAACCGTATTGACGCTACACAGTCTACGTGGTTGAGAAAGTGTCGATAAACAATAAACATCAACCAATAAACTGACTATATAATTAAGTAACAAACCAGCTGGAGTTCTGACTAAGCTATTCTTCAAAGGCCGCGCCATAGCTCAAGCGGTTAGTCGTTGGCTTCCCATCGCGGTGGCCCGGATTCGATCCTGGGTCTGGTCAAGTGGGATTTGTGGTGGACAAAGTGGCGCTGGGGCAGGTTTTCTCCAAGTACTTCCGTTTCCCCTCCCAATCTTCATTCCACCAAATTCTCCATCATCATAATCACCCGGGGCAGGCTACAATAGGCCAATCAGTGGCCGCCGTGCCGAGTGGGCCCAGTTGGACTCCAGCCCCCACTAAACGAATTAAAAAAAAGTTAACCTATTGTTCAACAGTTGGTAGTAATTCGTCTCTCAAGAAGTTTCCTTTCGCTATTAAACCCGAAAGATTAACAGACGGGCCTTTTCCTAGTTATTTAAACTGTAGTTATTTTGTTTGCAGTTCTTTAGCGCCTCTGTCTGTAACTAGAAGTGTCCAACGACTTGACGATTGTGAATAATGAACTGAAAATGTGGAAGAATGTGGAGTAGCCTAATTGAACTTATTATCACGGCGTTATTCTGCAAGGACTTAAGAAAACCAGGGAAACCTTAAGTCTGAATCATCTGTGTTAGCTGATGGCACCTCCCTAGCACAAGACAGAAACATTAACATTTGATCGTACCAGCTCGGTTTTGTTGAAACTGTTAACGACGGAAACCAAAGACGCATTGTCATTATTGGTCCTCACCTTGAAATTGTCAAAATAACGAAGCACCGTCAGATGTTAGGCCCATGCAGCGCCACATGAATCAAAGGTAATCGATAGAGAATGCCCCTACCCAAACTAAAATAAGAATAACCTACAGTTGAGAGCGGCTCATCCTTCAAGACTGCCGGTAGCGATTATACGCACACAACAGAGTTCTTCTGTAATTTGTAGTGCATTTTCTTCACAGCAATGGTTATGCCACGGAGACTCGGTCGGTAAAACCTCGTTTGTGAAAATGGGTTGAACTTCATGGTGGCCAAGATACGAGTAATTTAACTTATTCTAAATTATGACAGATTCTTCCCTCAATATCCAGCCTCCCGACTTTGTCTCGACCTCACTTGTGGCCACTTTCCAAGAATTTATCGACAAAAATTCTGTACCAGTTTTTTGTTTCCCGGTCCATGGTCATTATTACGCCGGGCTACGAACTGGAGAACAAAGGTGGGGGGTAACTATACTCTTAAATACATCCAGACCTATTTTGTTCTCCTCCTAGCTCCTCATTCTAGGAACACGCTGGAAAATTTTACTGGGTGTAAGGTGGTCGTCACAAGAAGCTGACAGTTTACGTCTATTGATATGAGTCCTACACTATTTAACCACCATATTATATGTTGAGGAGCAAATTTGGGATTGAAAATTTAAGTCATTACCTAGGTGCCTGGAGACTTGCGAAAAGTGTTTTGCAGTGAAAGAGCAAAGATGACAACACATGGACACGCAATGAGGTTAAGAATGCGATAATCAGCATTCATGCGTAATACCGTATGCAAGACGCTCCGCTAACTAGGCCACTGGAGAGGGTCATANACGCCATGCTGTTAGATGTTATTGTTAAGCAAAGTGTTATTGTGTGATTATAAGGCAGTCTCCAGTGTACCAAGTGAGAGCCAGGGTAGAACAGGGTAGAAATGAACGGAGAGTGACAGACAATGATAGGAGCACAGTTTCAAGGCACCTCCCCTCCACAACCAAGGTCGGTAGAATTAGTTTAGGATAAGAGTCATGATAGACAGATCAAAAGCAAACCTTTTTCTTCATGTAATTATTATTGTAAATAGACAGTGTACATAGTAGAAAATGTACGCAGGGAGTTCTGATTCACCCGCCAGTAACCATCCTGTCCTCGACCGATCCCGAGCTACCATAGCTAAGACAGCCGACGGCAGCCGAGTGTAGCGCCGATGTTAGGAAATGAGTAACGACAGACCCAAGTAATTATAATTTCTCACCCCCTCCCCCCTGAGGTGTAACATTATATAGCGTAGAATTAGATGAAGTGTTCGTGAATGGTACGCAAAAACAATCTATGTAGCTTTAGTCCGCAAGCGAACTATACCGACCGAGCGACCGCCGCTTGTCGGCGAAGTTAGTGCCAACTTTTGTGGATAGAGGGTGTCACATGGTCAGTGCAATGAATCCACACGACCGTTAATCTCGGTTTTGTAGACCGGAGCCGCTATTTCCTTGAAATAGCTCCTCAATTATCCTCATGAGGCTGGACCCCTTTCCAGACCCACTCCTTCTCATAAAATCTGGTAGCACCGGGAATCGAACCCGGGACCTCTGGATCTGTAACCACTAGACCACAGAAGCGGTCGATGAATGGTAAGACGTATTCGCAAATGGGCGCTCGTGGCCTACTTTAAAGTACTGTTGAACCTTGAGAGATTGAGGAAACTTTCAATAAACTTAAGTCAGTGTAACCCGTAGTATGGACGAAATTTGAACTGCCTATCTCTTCAATGCTGTTCGTGAGTCTTACCGCTACTCAAGCCTGTTCAAAGAGAATGCCTGAAGTGTTAAGTCCAAGTCTTAAAGAAGCCCCTTGTGTTATAATCAGACAGTAGTTTAGGCGCCAAACCTGTAATGCGCTGTTCGTTGGTTCATCTCCTGCAGCGGATACACGCTCAGATACTGGTCACGGAGTGGTCATTTTTTTCCATTTCATACTTACTCATACATTCATTTTTCACCATTAAAGTTATCAATTGTTATTATTAAATTATAGTCAATAAAAAATAACAATAACAGATAATTTTACTTTTTTTAAAAAAGCTGTCCGTTCGGAAAACCACTCAACCTTTCACCTCGAGAGTCAAAATGACGGATAACTTCCGTAGACTGATTTAGAGATCATGTCTGCCAAACCATGAACACCGAGATCTTTGGTGCAGCTGCAACATTCTAGATTTGTATTCGGAAAAGTTTGGTTCGAATCCCAGCCGGGAAAAAAATCTGTCCCAACTGAGGCTTTCGTGGTTTCCCTCGGTCCCTGCAGGCAAGTTCCCTGGTAATACAACGATTAGGCCGCGACTGCTTCCTTCCAAATCCCTTCGAATTCATTATTAATGAGCAATCTTATCATTTGACGCTCTAAATAGTATATACTTGTATGCTGACAGTGCCTTAAAAAACAAACGCTTAGAAACTACAAACCTGTGGGACTCACATAAGCCTTCCGATTTGGAGTTCTGCACCTCCCATTTCATTGGTCTTTATGCTCGTTTACTGCTCATAGAAATGTACGTTGCGAACCTAACAGCACAGCTTCTAGCACTTCCTTAGTGTGGACATCACACCGAAAAATGTTTCAAAGGGAAGTTGTTATACTCTGTCTGCAAACCAGCTGTCTCTCAGCCGCCGTGCTACGTATGGTGTGCAATGCCAATTGCAATTGGAATTCAGTTCCCATCTACACATCTAACAATAGTACATAATATCTGTCTGTCCGCCCGTCCGTCAGTCAGTCAGTCAGTCAATCAGTCGGTCTGTCTGTCTGTCTGCCTATCTATCTATCTATCTATTTATCTTTTTTTATTCTTAGTGGGGTGGAACTAAGTCCCTTGTACTGCGGCCACTTCTGGCCTATTGTACCAGCCCCAGATGACAGGTGAGGGTGATTGTGGAGCAATTGTGGGATGAAGATTGGCAAGGGAAACCGAAGTACTCGGATAAAGCCTGCCCCAGCGCCACTTTGTCCAGCACAAATCCCACTTGACCAGACCTGGAACCGAACCCGGGCCGCCGCGGTGGGAAGCCAGCCACTAACCGCTTGAGCTATGGCGCGGCCCAATCTATCTATCTGTCTAACAACCCGTATATGCACCTCTTTATTTTTCTATCCATCTAGATTATGTCTATCTATACCCATCTACACCCTTCCATTCTTGTCTGTATCTATCCATCCGTCTGTCTATCCGTCTAGCCGTTTGACCGGCCACCCGCTATTCCGTATGCCTTGTTGTCGGTTTCACACTTCGTCCATCCATACAGCTACCTGTCCATCCTTCCGTGCAATGGTGAACGCACGCATTGGGCTAGCACTTACAGAAAGAGACGCAAAATTTGCAGTGTACATGGGTGATATGCCATGAATTGTTGAATTGTAGGTTTATTGCTGTGTGCCGTAAAGTAGAAAATGTTGAGACACATTGACCCGGGTGACAGAGTTACAGGATGTGCTCCAACTGGATAGAATTCTTGTTTCCCAGTCCAATGTGAGAAGTAGGTATCCTTACACGTCACCCTTCATTCAGAGAATGTGATTCCAAACATTCATCCCTAGCACCTTCTTTACTTCATGAGAATAGATAGACTCGGAAATCGTCTTCGTGTTTCCGTCAGTGAGTCCCTTCCTCCTCCCCAGCTGATGAACTTCTTTTCAGGCAGTCAAAGGATTTTGAGTAAGAAGTAGGTTTCAGTGTCAAGAGTACAGTGGCACTCCAACCTTATTACATTACTATCTGATTTACTCTCGTCCAAAATGACATGTGACCCCAGAGTCACTTAGATAAGGACCTGAAATGTTATGTGGTAATAGATCTCCAAAAACTGTGCTAGATTAGCTGAGCGGAAACAACATGACCGACGCGCATGATCCATATTTACCGTTTGCTTTCATATGGCAGGCGAACCCAGATGTGGTCTAGTGGTCAGCATTTTTGGCTACAGATCCAGACGTCCGGGTTCGATTCCCGGCGCTACCAGATTTTTTCGGAGAAGTAGTGGGTCTAGAACGTGGTCCACTCAGCCTCGTGATGAGTAGCTGAGTAGCTATTTCAAGGAAATAGAAAACCTAAATTAACGACCGTGGGGATTCGTTGCGCTGACCACGCGACACCCTCTATCCGCAAAAGTTGGCACTAAGCTTCGCCGACAAGCGCCGGTCGCCCGGTCGGTATGGTTGGCTTGCGGACGGAAATCACGGAGGTTTTTTTTTTTTCATAGCGCAGCTACTTCAACACCGATGTTAGGATTATGAAACGTTGAGTGCTGATAAACACCCAAATAAGTCTGAAGTTAATCAGATCTGTAGGTTAACAGTTACAGTGACAGTGAAAGCACATGTATCTGTCAACTTGAACTAATTGAGACCTGCATAAGAACAGGTAACACACAGAAATAAGTCACTGATTAGAGGACCATACTGATTTATGTGTAGTCACTGATCCTTCATTATATCCACTGAAAACAGCTCCTCGAATAGGAAAGACGATCGGAGTGACGATGTGTAGGATCCGTGGATAAAAAGCGATAATTTTTTCTTCGACCCTTCTGATTTTTTACTGAACAGCAGGAAATTTTATAAGCTTGCGTATTGGCTGTTATATCAGAGGACTGATGTTCTTATTCAAATAAGAGGGAAGAGAGTTAAAGAAAGTAAATAAGTTCGGGACTACACGCCAGACCTGGAAAAGTTCTTCGCTTATGTTTGAACAGCCAGTAAGTATTTCGAGAGAGAATTCGTGGACAGAAAGTGACTTTTAACAAATAATTTACATTCTGCTGGCAATAACGTCCCATGGAACAATACAATTTTAAGACTAAGAAATATACTCTATTTCATTAAAATCTTTTTCACCGGTGTATATAATTTTTTATTAACTGCGAAATACTTAAATCGCAGTAATTTATAAGCAACTGCCAAACTACTTATTACTAGATAACATAGAAACAGCGCGAAAGAACACGTGGACCAAACAGCCACCGGGGGAGGCGCGATTTGAGGCACCGAGCACCTAATAACCCCCTTTTTTGTTAAATGAAATAATTTTTGCTCTTCTTTGTGTATATCATACCCACAAATTTACGTTAATATGAACTTGTGTAGCAATGTAAAAAAAAATTCTTACTGCTACTTTTTAAGAATTTATATGATTTTAACCATGACATCTGGGAATTTAGTTTTCTTGTAACGAAGTTTTGAGAACGTGGGTCTGTATTTAGCTGAAGGGGACGTCGTAAATTATTTTCGCTTGGGGAGGAATTTGGGTTTGCTCCGGCTTTCCTACCAACCTACCTTACTAAATAGATCGCTTGGCTGATATCGTCCTAATTACTTAGGTAAGCAGGTAACTAACTTACCAACTGGACACTTAGGTATGTACCTACCTGTCTTCATAATGATGTAGTTATGTAAATAACTTCTTTATGAAATGTAAGTATTTCACAATGTTCAATGGATAATTATTTAACTGTTGAAAGAATTCTGCTCTTATGGAAGCCGAATGTACAGTTCAGTATTCACACAAGTTCGAGTATACTGATCTAACTGAATCTATTTCACGTCTTATCAACTTCTTTTCTTGTATCTGTCTAGAATTTAACACTTTTAATATGTCTCAGTTACACTTCCTATCCATATAAAATCATTTTAAAACTTATAAAGTGTAAATATTTTTTAGACAAATGTTGTGATACCCGGTATCACATGTAGATTTCATCTTGGATGGAGCGCACAGTTGTGTATTTTCTCATACAAAAATAAAATGTCTTTAGATATAAATTTTGGGAAACAGAATTATCAGGTCTACTACTGAAGAGAAGTTAGGAGCAAAACAAAACTCTGTACTGTGTGGCGAGTCCGTACCTTGCGATCACAGAGGCTGCGCGAAGCAGTCAGTCACTTGTCACAAGCAGGCGCGCCGCGGAACAGCACTCACAGCTGATAGAGCGCCACTGCTGCTCCGGGCTCCCAGTTAGCAAATGAAATTGCAATCATAGCACAGTAAACACACGTAAAGAGAGCGGGGAGAGACATGCACTAGCTAAGCATTGTAACCTAGGATTTAGGCTTCAGAAGGCCGACTACTTGATACAGCTGTTGGAGTACAACTGTGGTGTTCCCCCACCCTTAAATACTTGGTTAATCAGGTCTGCCTCCAATCGGTACTTACGGGGCAGGGTTAAGAGTGGAGGAGTGGCATGTCTTATAGTCCCCACTCTCTTTCATGAGCCGCATGCGAGTCTTAACGCTTGAGAGATCAGGTAATGACTGAGGACATGTGTTCCCTGCTGCTTACCTGTAAATGTTGAGCATGGGGTGAACGATACAGTGGCCCTGCCGAGGGCCTGAGGGAATCTGTCCATCGATGGCTAGGTGAAGAATGCAATGGATTGATTGTCAGAAGGATGGATGTAGTTCACCATAAGAAGTATCGGAGATGGGTGAATGGATCAATGTGTGTATCGCAAGTGTAGATGGATGCGTTCGGAAGGAACGGTTTGCGGTGTCGAAAGGGATAAAAAAATAGACAGTTCGATTGAAACAAGGAAGAATAGATGGATATATGGAGAGAAAGAATTATAGACAAGGGAAAAGTTGTAAGATTTGAGGTTTTCACGGCGGTGACTATGAAGAAAGCAGTCTTCTGGGATTTGGCACCGTGTATATGTGGTGTTAACCGACGTTTCGGAGGAACGTACCGCCTCCATCTTCAGGGTAGAAGAAAAAATATAAGAAATCTGCAAGCGACGAGACCGTGAGAACCGGTAANGTACGTATGGTTAGAGAAAATATGGATTAGTGTGGAGAGAACAGACTGATAAAACGAAGACGGAGGTGTAAGTTTGCAGTGCTTAGATAAAAAGAGGAATAGATGGAAAGAAGGACGAAAATAGATTTACTGTTATATTCATAGGCCATTATCGCGTGAACAATAAATTCTAACACCTCAGTTCAAATTACTATAATGTTATTAACATTAATACGTTTTCATCATAGAGAATCGTCATAATAATTATCATCAATTTCACGCCTTGTGATTATGTCTCGCCTTGCAGGCAGAAACAGCGCAAAGAGGTAATTCATCAGATCACCAGATCGCCTTCTGGAATCTGATTGTTATTTAAAATTTTCCCGAAACTCGACAGGTCTTATTTGTCTCCGTTATTGAAGATGTTTGTTTATTTAAATTTTATAATCAATTTTATGTGACTATTTTGAGTATACTTGCATAGAGATTGAACAATATAAATTCGATTTTTCCCACAAGCCTTAGATGGTTTTCTTCGCCGTAAGCCTGACACAGGCTCTGAACTTACACTTCTTTGTATCCATTAGAAGTCGTCATGAAATCGAGACGGGCTGTGAACTTTACGCAATGGACAGGAACCGTGGGTTACGAACTTCCCCATCACGTCTAGTCTGGCTAAGGATTTACATAGCTTCTTATCCTGATTGGTACCGAGCTCTATTCCCGGGCTGGAACTTCTCGACCACTCACCCCCATCTACTGCCAAAGTCAGGAATGTCTGTAGCCGTACTTGCATTCTTCTATACTATCTGTTGCGTGATGGTGGGGCACATAATCTAGTTTGAATAAAGCTTGACAATGTACTTGAGAATGTCAAGGGGTCAGGAATGCTACTGCTCACAGGCATATTATTTAGCGTTGGGTGTGGATGATGATATTTTTATGATACAATCTGGAAGGTGAGAGAGACATTATCTCTATGTCTTCAGAAGAGAATGAGTCAGAAGGGGAAAGTTATAGGAGTCGGCTCACCATTTACATTGTACTGGCCCGGGTGGTTGTTGTAGCCACAAATCCCTAGATATAATTACAAATGATAAAACAGTTCCGTCCAGTGTGACTGTTGAAGCTTTTACTACTTCACTTCTTAGCACCCTAACATGTTTCGGTCCCTACAGACCATCATCAGAGGGAACATCAATACTTTTAGAAACTACTATTACATTGGTGTTTCGATTTTTAAAATACATAAATATATCTGGTGATGGTCTGTAGGGACCGAAACATGTTAGGGTGCTAAAAAGTGAAGTCGCTGTTTACTTTCCATACAGTACGGACAATTCTTCGTAAGACGAAGCACCGACTATACAATTAATTAATTTGCAACATCATGGGCCTCCTATGCATTCTTATATAAAAGAAATATCGAACTTCCAGTTGGTCCATAGAAACGTATGAAAAGTAAAAAATCAGCGACCCATTCGATGTTGTATAACATCAATTAAGTTTTATCTTGTTTTATACAATAACTTTCAGTTTTTTATATAATCTGACTTACTGTATTTCTACACAAAGTATTTTAACATTGTATCCAATCTATTGTACAGCAGTTCAGTGGTGTATGTTTGTTAATATGTGTTTGCCTGATGAAGGCCGTTAGTGGCTGAAACATGTAGCGAAGCCATAGCTGGGCGCTGACCCTGCTTTTTTCTATTTGTTGTGTTTTGACGGTCAATAAAATAGTTGTAAGTAGTAAAAGCTTCAACACCGGTCACTGTAGCCGAGCGGTCTAAGGCATGCATTGTCTTCGCTCGCTTGGAAGCCGGGATCGTGGGTTCGAATCCCACTTAGGGCATGGATGTTTGTGTGCGTTTTTCTGTGTTTGTCTACAGGTAGAGGCCTTGCGACGAGCTGATCACTCGCCCAAGGAGTCCTACCGAATGTGTAAGATCTAGTAAACCGAAGTGAAACGGAGAGTTTCATGGAGGTAGGCCTAGGCCCAAATTGGG